AGATTCGTAGAATGTTTTGAGGTAAAGTAGTGAAACGTCTCTTGCTTTATTCTTTTTGATGTGGAGGGCTCTTTGACGTTCCATAGAAATTTCAGGATTATTTTTTCTACTTCTCTGAAGAATGTCTGGTATTTTAATAGGGATTATTAGACACTGTAGATTAGTGGTATGGACATTTTAATAATATTGATATTACTAATATATGAACATGGGATGTCTTTCTACATTTTTGTATCCTCTCCAATTTCTTTCCTTATTGATTATAATTTTCATGGCAGAGATATTTCATTTTGGTTAAATTATTCCTTTTGTTTAGCTATTTCAAATGGAACCCCCATTTCTATTTTAGATACTTCACTACTGACATCTAGCAATGCTTCTGAGTTTTTTTTTTTCTTTTCTTCTTTTTTTTATGTCAAATTTATATCCCACAACTCTGATGAATTTACTTGTTAATTCCAATAGTTTTGGGGTTTTCTATTTATAGATTGTCTTATCTGCAAGGTGACAACTTTACTTCTTTTCTAATTTAAATGCCTTTGATTTCATCTTCCTGATTGTTCTGGCTAACAGTTCCATTACTAAATTGAATGAAGCAGTAAAAGTGGGCAACTTTGTCTTGTTCCAGATCTCAGAGAAGGTTTCTCCTTTTCCGTATTCAGTATAATGCTAGCTCTTGGCTTATTATAAATGGCCTTAATTATGTAGAGCTCATTCACTCTATAACTAATTTGCTCAACATTTTTATCATGAAAGGATATTATTACATTTTATCAAATGTCTTTTCTGCATTCATTGAGAGGATCCTACGGTTTTTTGCCCTTCACTGTGTTCATATGGTATATAATGTACCTTGATTGCTTAACGCTGAAATATCCTTGGGATGAATATCACTTGAACATGTTGAATAATCTTTTTAATGTGCTGTTAGTCAGTGTGCTAGTATTTGGTTGAGAATTTTCCGTCTGCATTGACCAAGGATATTGGCGTGTAGTTTTCTTTCTTTTTTCTCTGTTTTGTTTCATTATGTCCTTGTCTGGTTTTCATACTAGGATATTGTTGGGCTTGTAGAGTGTGTCTGGGAGAATTCCATCCTTTTCTACTTTTTGGCATGAATACATGAGAATTTCATTCTTATTTAAATGCCTAGTAGAATTCAACACTGAAGCCAACCATCTAGACCTGGCTTTTCTTTGATGGGAGACTATATTATGAATTTAGTTTTGTTATTTGTCTCTGATATTTCTCGGTTTTCTTTTTATTCATGATTCTATCTTGGCAAGGTATATGTGTCTAGAAATTTGCCCATTTATTCCATAGTATCAAATCTGTTGGTATATAGTTGTTCATAATAATCTCTAATGATCTTTTGTATTTCTGTGGTGTCAGTTATTATGTCTCCCTAATTTTCTGATATTTAAAGAATGTTTATATTCATATTAATAGGTGCATTTTGTCTATGATTTTCTTTTTGTACTGCCTTTGTTCATAATCTCAGGGTAAGACTACCCACAGCCAAGTTAGCTATTATTCTCTTTCTAGTATCTAGAATGTTTTATAATAGATAATCCTATCCATTATTGAATGCATATACTTAGTGTACATATAAATCTAAATGTATTTGAAGATTTGGTTAAAATTACCCTGAAAAATGTCTAATTTTATGGATGGAGGAATTTTCTTGTGTACTGAGTCAATAATATTAATGGTTACTGGATTATTCACATACTCCATATATTTCCTTTACTTGATTTTACAATTTGTAAAATATGCCAAGCTCATGGAAGATTTGTTCATTTTAAAAACTATCAGCATCAACAATCTTTTACAGGCAATAGGAGGATCATGTTTCTTATTTGTAGTAGTGGGTACACAGTTATGAGGAAATTTGATTCAGTTCTCGCCCAATTCGGTTGTGACCAGAATCATGGAAAGAATTAAATTCATGAACTGAGGTACCGCTGTATAAATCTAATAAATTTATCAAATCGTGTGTTGTAAGTAAAATTCATAGAAATCAAATTATGTCTTCTCATGTTAACATTTATCTGCAGAAAATTTTATATAGTATTTTTGAGATTTTTTTCTAAAAATTCTCTTAAGTAGTTTTAAATTTCCCCACCTATACCTTGGGGGAAATTGATCTTTTATTTTTCTTAAAAGGTTTGACCATTTCATTAACTCGTAGATAATAAGATCCTTGAGAATCACCTTTGCTTTCTTGATTTTGGACACAAGAACTTTGTGGCATTCTGTCTACTACCACCACCATTTTGTATGGGTAAATGAAAGCATGTGAAAGGACAGGTGACTACAGGAAGTTATAATACTTGGCCTAAAGGCCAGGAATGAAAGGATGATTTTTTTTTTTTCTTATTTCAAGGTATCTACTGAAGGCAGCAGGTTAGGCCTAATAGCTACTAGAGGCAGTTTCCCCTGTGAAATAAATATCGCTAAAATATCATTTGGTGCCTTCGAGAATTCTCCTCGCACTCTCTTAAGAGAGCTTAGGTTAAAATGTGGGTATTTTTTACTTTTAGGATCTTTGTTCTGTCATTTTTACATTCAGTTCCATAATATTTGTTCTTGATAAGTGACCTTCCCTTAACTAACAGACAAATGAAAATGGGCAGCACAATCTGAAAATACTGTAGTATAGCATCAGTTAAATGCTAAATAGTATATTTTAACTATCTTAAAATTCATGTGCTTGTTTTATTAACTAAGAATGTTTGATTACTTAACACAGTTTATATTTTCTCCTTTTGTTAAATATTTAACATGATTAATCTTTTTATAAACACAATATTCTTTTTTATATTTTTTTCTTTTGGTTTTATCAAAACCAAACTATCCCTCCAGATTTGAGGCAGCTAATTACCCTTAACTGCTAAAGGTAAAAACCTAATTGCTTTTATTTTTCTTCTAGTCACTAAATGTATTTTATGAAAAAATATAAAACAGATGATCTAATAATGCTTTGTTTATATATAATACTGAATATAATCTGCGGAAATGGTATTCCTATTAAAAGCACAGAGAGGTGCCTTTGTTTGTTGCCTTGGTGCTTATTCACAATAATCAGGTGCACTGCTGCAGATGTTTCAAAAATATTCATGAACATTATTCCCTCCACATATAGGATAATTATGTGTTTTTGAAAACTTGAAGGGAAAATATATACTGGGAGTAGGATTTTATTACTTACAAAATAGTACTGAGCAGCCCAATGGGAAATCAGTTATCCTTTTACTGAATGGTGCTGGACACCAACAACAAAATTATCTATCTGAAATTTGAATTTGATTTCCTAGAATTGACAAAAAAAAAAAGCAGGACAGTGTAAACTTGAGTAATCGTTTACATTGCTTTTTATGCTTATTTTCTCCTTTTAAAAAATGTATTTGGTGGGTCAGGGGTTTCGCTCAGTGGTTTTACCACCTGCCTCACAATCTCTAGTACCAAAAAAAAATGTATTTGGAGTAACTTTCCTAGTTGCTGTTTTATTTTAATCTTGGGAAACAGTTGTCAGCTCAAGAGTGAAAGCTAGATATGTCATAACAGTAAGCTATACTGAATGGCTTAAAATACAGAAAAAAATTTTTTCTCGCAATTTCACATGCTGGATGTCGAAGATAAAGGTGCTGCCTGGGTTGGTGTTTTCTGAGGTCTTTTTCTTGGCCTTTAGATGGTTTTCTTCTCTGTCTTCACATAGTATTCGTATTCTCAAGAGAAAGTGTGTGTGTGTGTGTGTGTGTGTGTGTGTGGTTCTTGCGTACACACATGCAAAAGGAAGAAGAAAGAGACAGACTGAGAGCAAGAAAACATTTACTTATTTATTTTAAAGATTGGCTCCCATGACCGTGGAGGCTTTGGAAATATAAAATCTACTGATAGTGGTGACCGAAGGAAGAGGTACAGCTGAGTCAGGAGGTAGCATCCTCCTTGCTTGGAAGAGTTAGTCTTTGTTCTATTAAGGACTTCAGTGAACTGGATGTGGTCCACCCACATTGTGAGGCCAATCAGCTTTATTCAAAGTCCACTCATTTAAATGCTAATCCTATGCAACAATATCTTCATTGAAACATTCACAATAATATTTGACCAACCATCTGGGCATTAAAACTCAAGCAAGTTGGCATGTAAAATTAACCACCATGCATGATCTTCTCTCTATGTCTATCCATGTACAAATTTCCTCTTATAAGGATGCCAGTCATACTGTATTAGGTCCCTTCCTGAGTACTTCATTTTTATTGAAAATCCCATTTCTAATCATAGGCACACTGTGAAGTGATGGGAATTAGAACTTCAACATATGAGGGTTATGCAATTCAGCTATAATGGTCATTAGTATAAAAGCAAGCATAAAGAGAAAGGAAGCCATTTAAAAGAAAAATAACCTTCCTGCTACTAAAAGTTTATTATTCTCTCTCTCTCTCTCTCTCTCTCTCTCTCTCTCTCTATATATATATATATATATATATATATATATATACACACACACACACACACATATATTTCTGCAGCCTAGAAAGCAACTTTGTTTTTCTTTGCCAAGGATATATACATTTTCATAACAATTAGAATTTAGGTTAAGATAAGGAATATATTTTGAAATTCTGATAATTTCTGAATTTTTACCAGCTTTCATCATGTATTTTATTTCAAATTAGAGTGTAATGTGTAGGTTTTTGTCAAGTTATGAACTATTTTGAAAATCAGTACTAAAAAGAGCATTTCTGCTTTTATGGAAATTTAAGAAAGAAACAATAAAAATTGCCAATAAAAATTTAAAAGGAAAGTAACAAGAGAGTATGAATTAAGGGCAAATTAGAAATCACGTCTTCAATAATTCTTTCAGTTCTTAAGTGAAATCTTGTTGCATTGTCTCTTGGCTTTTCTATCAATATCTTTGTCTCCTATCTGGAAACCCATTTAACAAAAGAATAAATAGGGTTCCCTATACTAAAGAAACATTCTGATTCTCCTTTTTGCAGATAACAAAGAGATATTCCTTTCCAAAGCAATTCACAAGTCCTTCATAGAGGTTAATGAAGAAGGCTCAGAAGCTGCTGCTGCCTCAGGTACATACTAAGTTTCTTAAAATCTCTACTCTTTCAGATTTATATTTTCAAAACATTCTTGGGTGGGGGTGGAGATCGTTTTCAGTACCAAGCCAAAAATTTGACTCCGTTCTAAGTTAGAAGTCAAACAAATGCTGAACCAGCCAGAATTTTCTAAATAGAATGTGCAGCGTATGTGCACTCCACGGCCCCTTTACAGTATAGCTCCCATTTTCATTTTCTCCCTAATGAGAGTCAGCACACACCTGCAGCTCTGTGAGAAGAGCTATTCCTGCTATGCTGCCTGCTTAAGTATTTCCCTGATGCTCATTTAAGCATTTTCCTTGCTCTCTAACTACCCTTCAAAGTTCGTTCCTAATTGTTAATGAAAAGTTTTAATTTTTAAAAAGCATAAACACAAACAAGAATATACAATGGATGTAATAAATAGTCTTAAATACTTAATACTTTAAAACTGAATGGTACTAATGAAACCATAATCTTAAATACATATTTTTTTTAAATTGACACAATCGGCATGTCGGGAGTACCTAGTTAACTGAGAGTCCTTTTTCCATTGCATTTTCTCTGTCTCCTTTTATTTGTTTGGATTTGCTTCAATCTGATGTTCAAAAGCTTTCATCAGATTTTAGTAAGGAAATCCTCTTTGGCAAAATGTTAGCTGATTCGCACACATTATTTTTAATTAACTTTTATTGGTACGTTTTTGCCATACATAACGATCAAATCCATCATAGGCAATTTGTACCCAGATATATTATATCTTAGTTCTTTTTTCCCATTCCCCCTCTACCCTTCAAGTCTGTCTTCCTCCCCATTTACAAAAGTTTGTTTCCATTATTTTCCTTTCATTTCTAAGAATCCTTTTTCCCTTCTCTCCCCTCCCCTGCTCTCTCCCCTTGTCCCCCTTCCCATTTGCACATTGTATTCCTACTTCCCAATATCTATCCTCCGTTTTGCTCCTTATTTACATTTTGGATTACTCACACAAAAGAGTGCAATATTGAAACATGCACGTTTGATTTATTTTACTTAAACTTCTCAGGGTGCATCCATGTACCTAAATACGTCTCAAGTTTCTCATTCTTCATGATGGAGGACTCCATTGTATATAAATACCACATTTTATTTACCCACTCATCCATCAATTGGCATATGGGCTGCTTCCAAGATTTAGCTATTATAAAGTATGCCGCTGGAAACACAGGCGTGTACATGGCTCTGCGGTGTGGTGCCTTTAACTCTTCCAGAAAGATAACTAGAAGGGGAATAGCTGGGTTAAATGGAAACTCTAGTTTCAGTGTTTTGAGGAATCTCCATATTGAGTTTCAGTGTGGTTGTACCAGTTTACACTCCCATCAACAGTGGAAAGTTCCTTTTCCCCCATAGCCTTACCAATATTTGTTATTGATTGATTGCTTGATGATAATCATCCTTTCTGCAGTGAAATGGAATCTCTGTGTTTTTAAAAGTTGCATTTCTCAAATGACCAGTGATGTTGAATATTTTTTTTATATATTTAATTGCTGCTTGTATTTCTTCATCTGAGAAATGTCTATTCATTTCAGATGCCCATTTTTGGACTGGGTCTTTAAATTGGGCATGGGTGTGATTTTTTGGAGTTCTTTATAAATTCTAAATATTAGTCCTTAGATCTTTGATCCATTTTGATTTTAGCTTAACGCATATGGGTCTACTTTTTATCTTCGGCATGTGGAAAGTCAGTTTTTCCAGAACCATTTATCAGAGAGGCTATCTTCTTCCAGTGAAGGTGTTTGGCCTGTTAGTCAAATGTAAGGTAGCTGAGTGTGCTTGCAGTTGTTTCTGCATCTTCTATTCTGTTCCATTGATCCTCAGGTTTTTGTTTTGTTTTGTTTTGCATTTTTTTTCCAGTACCATGCTGTTTTTATCACATGCATACATTATTTCTAACTTTACCAGTCACAGTCATACTTTTAGAAGTAAACAAAAACATAGTAGTATCCAGTTTCAAAAAAATTTTAAATATTATGTAATTTAATCTTGATTTTTTAGCAAGTATATAATAATCCTCTATATCATGTGGACTTCAGAGGAATTCAATATCCCACCTTTGGAAATACTGTCTTTCACATTTGTGTTTATCCTTTAATCACTGCCACACTGATCACTTACTAGAACCCCAGAGGCCTGCTATGTTTAAAAAAAAAATCTATTTCAGTCAAAAGAAATAGTGACTTGAAAACATAAGGAAACTGTCTTTATTTAATTATTTATTTTGGGGGGCAGTGTACCAGGGATTGAACTCGGGTCCTTGCGCTTTTTTTTTTTTAGGAATTTTTCTCTTCTCCTTCGCCTCTTTTTTCTTTTTTTTTTTTTTTTTTTTTTTCTTTTTTTTTGGTACTGGGGATTGAACTCGGGTCCTTGCATTTGCAAGGCAGGCCACCGAACTGCTGAGCTAAATCCCTGGCCCCTCCTCGGCTCTTAATTGAAAGGACATTCTGATGAAAGCACAAATATGTATAATAGACTGAAAATACAATTTTTATCCCAGACAGAATAAATTTCCTCTTATTTTTGTTGAGTTAGTGGGAGGAAATTGTGTAGTGGGCTTGTTGTGTCTTTAAAAAAGGAAAACAAGTAGAAATGTTAATATCGTTACAATTTTTCTCTCAAGTCTTTCGACTTCTAATTTCTGATTGCCTTTGCATTAAATGGGTAGACACAAATTGCTCTGAGAAATTGTCCATCAGTCTCTGTACATTCACTGACATGTAATTACTTTCTCTCTGCACTGTAGGAATGATTGCAATTAGTAGGATGGCTGTGCTATATCCTCAAGTTATTGTTGACCATCCATTTTTCTTTCTTATCAGGAACAGGAGAACCGGTGAGTATGTTATAAGAAAGGATGAACTTTAGTAAGTCTCAAAGAAACTTTCCATTTTATACTTTTTAAAGTTCGTATGATTTTTTTTGTTCTTTTATTGAGTTTATTGGTACATTTTAGGTATACAGTACAATTACATTCATTATTGGGATCTTGTACCTTTACATGACAGGTCTTGATTCTCATTTTTTCCCCTTGTCCCTGCCCTCCCTTCATCCCCTCCTCCCCTCCTCCCCTCCCCATTTACAAACACTTTATTTCCATTTTTTCATACTTTTTTTCCCCCTTATTACCTTTTCCCTACCCTTCCCACTTTCCCTACACCTTTAGCCCTTTTCTTCCTATTTCACATGGTCAATTATCTCATTAGGGTCTTATGTACTATTATAGTTTTTCACACCAGAGAAACTATTTGGTATTTACACATGTGTGGTTTTTTGTTGCTGTTGTTGTTGTTTGTTTGTCTATTTAGTGGTAGTGCTGGCAGTTTTATCCAGGGTTCTTCACACTAAACTGTATCCTCTTTTCTTTCCTTTTTTCTTCTCTCCCCCTTTTCCTGCTCCTCCTCCTGCTCCTCCTCCTTCTTCTGCTCTCTCTCTCTCTCTCTCTCTCTCTCTCTCTCTCTCTTTCTTGAGATAGCATCTCACTATGCAGTTCAGACAGGCCTAGAACTCACCAGACTGTCCTGAAACTCCCTGAAGTCCTCATGCCTCAGCCTCCCTCATGCTGGCATTATAGGCATGTGCCATCACATATGGTTTATTTTTTATTTTGAGACAGACCTTCTCTCAGTGGCTGAATTACTCAGGTTAGGCTCAACTCGTGATCTTCCTGTCTCAGCCTCCTAGAGTGCTTAGATTACATACATTCTGCACCGTATCCACTTCAAATAATTTTTTAATGAAAATTACTTTCATTTTAAAACATTGCTAATTATAAGCAAGAAGGATAAATAACCAAATTTTTGTTCACCCCTCTGTTGTCCTCTTTCAAACTTATGCAGGTACAATCTTATTCATGGGACGAGTCATGCATCCTGAAACAATGAACACAAGTGGACATGATTTTGAGGAACTTTAAATTATTTCATTTGAGTAACAAGGAAAATACTAGTGAAGCACATTATGTTTGCCACTGGTATATATATTTAAGATTTGTGTTTTACAGTAATACTTCAGTGTTTTAAGGGAATATTTAAAATAGCTGTAGATTGAAACTATACGTAAATTATAAGTCAACAGTGTCAAGAAATGTTATCAGTATTAAGGTGATGGTCCTGTTATGTTATTGTGTTTGTTGTGATGTTATTTAAAATAAAAGTACATATTGAACATGTGAACAGTTTTTTTTTCATTTTAGAAACTGTAGAATACAGATAGCTCTAGGTTAAATTGGAGAACAATGATGTTTGTTACGAAATCATAGCACACTGGTACCACTAAGTAAAAAAGATTTGACCCCTCAAATCTTTCATAATTCTTCAGAATCAAAGTTCAAAGTAAATTAGCATTATACATTAATATATAACAAGTAATAACGTGAAGCGAAGGCAGGTACTCCACAAAAATCTCATTGTCATTTGTTTGAAATCTGTGTAGAGGGTACAATGGCTTGGAAACTGAATATCTTTTGTGTGGCTCCAGAACAAAACGAGAGAGAGAGAGAGAGAGAGAGAGAGAGAGAGACTAATCCTGTAGACATTTGCTAATGTATTTACCATACTACTATAGTTTTTATTTATTATTATTTTAGAGTGTACTGGTGTACATCTAAGTAATTTACTGTAAAGCAGTTTTACCATTTAGATGCCAGCAGTGACCTCATACCTCTCCTGTTCACACTGCTGCTTGACTACATCAAGAGGTCCTGTCCAGGGATTGACCTGTGCCATCCAGGCTGGTGCAAGAGCTCTCTGAATTTCTCTTAAAGATGAAATTGTCTAATGACATATTGCTCAGGACACACCTCAGATGTTAAGCAACATGTGACTAGACTAATTCTTTAGGTATGTTTCATTTATGGAAAAGTAGGTCAGTCACTGCTTCTATTAGGTCAGTGCTTCTTAAATTGGTGATCTTAGTAGGCTTGAGTGGGGCTCAAGATTGTGCATTTCTGACAAGCTCCCAGTGATGCCTTTGGTACCAAAACTGCACCTACCATAGGTTTGCATGTTTGATATTTCCATAAATGGAAACAGAAAGACTGTATAATTTTCATAGAGGTTGGAGGGATTCGGGATGGGATAGTACACTGCATCAATAATGTAATACACTGTTCTATTACATACTAATGCTACATGCAAAATTCCTCAACATATCAGAACACTTGAAATATATTCTCTAAAAATATGTAGAAATTCAGAGGTGATACGAAAGAATGTATGAATGCCCATGCACACAGTACTTAGCAATGAATCTTTACAGCTTGTATTTTCAGAGAACATAAATTATATGAATTTATAAATTTATAAATCTCAGATTATTATAGATTAGTGATGTTGTTTCATATATAATTTATGCAGGCTAGCATTCTGATTCAATACTAATATTTTGAGTTTGTAATATTTTTCATTATTGTGTCACTGCTTGTTAATCATTGTACATATGACTATCTGTATGTTCACTGGCCAGCTTACTGTGTTACCTGAGAGGAAGAACGAATGTCATTAGACAATCATGCAGATTTTATAAATTCCCAAATACAATTTTTACCAGTTGACATAGGATTATCTACTATTCAGAATGTATGTCTTTAAATGTTTCAATAATTTAGATGCCATTTAAATGAAAATACATATTCCCTGTTATTTGCACGCTTATGGAATGTTTACAAATAATAGTGAACAGTACCATGGTTTTCCTTTGGCTTTCTTTGGTTTATAATTTCTTCAACATTTACCTTTCTCTCAGAAAAGCAATATAGTGTATTTCAGTTGCATTTACTTTTAAATGAATGTTACTGCATAAGCACATACATGCATAGCATGAACAGTTCACCAAAGCTTTGTGCTCTTTGAATCTATTTGAGGGAATAACAATAATTATATAGATTTCGCTTTTATTTGAAATCCCAATTTTACCTTTTTGTGTATGCAATAGGCTGGATTGAATAATTAAAAAGAATAAAATCTTACAGATTTTGTCATCACCACTATACCAAGTAGTTGTTAGAATCAGTCATAGAAATGTTTCTTTGAGTACTGAAAATAGTTGTTTTATGAAAACAATGACAATAAAGAGAAAACATGGTGAAGAACAACTTTCATTCTCATTAAATATGTATGTCATAATAATATAATTCACTGCTTTTGATGTATAATCAGCTTCTTGAGTTTATGATACCCATTTTTCTTATTGGAAAGCTAACTCTTTTTTAAAAACAAAATAGCCTAAGGCATTTCATTTACTACCCAAGGCAACTTGAAATGCATCTTTGTGAAGTGTAGGTCTCTGTTGTACTCCTGAGAAAGAAAATAAGATGAATGGCTATTTGTAATACACAAAATGGTTGATGAAAAATCTGTAACTTTACTCTCACAGCCTCATTACTTCATTACATTCTGTTACAGAGGGTAAGGCTTTTTAGTGAAAAATCAGAGTGCAAGTTTTCTTGAGTTAAAAGGATTTCATTTTAATACTTTTCCAAGGTGCGGGCACATTAAAAAATTCCAACAAAGCTTCCATGTTTGTTTCCTTCCAGAAAATATATTTTTAAAAATGTATTGGACTCAAGTCAAAACATATCTTCAGTTTGATTAAAGTCATTATTAAAAAGAAATTCTAGGCCCAGATGAGCAGTTCTAATTCAGATCTTGTTCCCTAGAGAATGGTGGAGTCAATAGAGTGATGGATCCTGGAGGGGGCTGTGGTACGGGGACAAGGAAAGGGAGACATATAAGGGAGTGGGAGGGTAAAGGCAAATCCGAAACTAGCATTCCACAAATTTTTACCAATTGATATGTGAGATCCAGGTACAAAGGAGCCTGTCTTGACTCATTTCCAAGTCTCATATCGTTAATAAAAAAGGAGTTAATGTTTTTCTGCCGGGAAAATGAATCAGAAAGCCACTCCACTATCTTTCTATCAGGGTGTGTATCTCTGCATGTAGGTGTGTGTGGGTGTGTGTGGGTGCGAAGTGTGCATGTGCATGGTAACATGTGCATGCACTTGTCCTCTGTTTCTCTTTTCCTTTTAGGGTTTAATAGCTTAGTCTCTGCACTGAAGATTTTTCTCCTTATGACATCAATAAATGAAAGTCTTTCAACATCCATTATTATTTACTGGGAAGTAATTTCTGCTCCTCCAGAATGCTTCATAGGATTTATTCCAAAGCTCAAAGAAGTTCTTTAGAGGAAAAGAGGGCAAAAACTGTTTATAACATGAAACTCGTTCATATAGAGAGTTCTTGCTGTGCAAAAACACTTTCACGTTGAGTTTCTCATTCAAATTCCACAATTTAAAAATAGACAAAGAATAGTATTGCCATTCTGAAATGGTGGTGTGAATTGAAGTTTTGATCAACCAAATAACTAACCAAAAGTGATATTTAACTAGGCAGCTGAAAAGGAACTAAGTAATAATTTACTTAACTATATTGCACTATTTGATACACACATAAAATGAATCAACCTTTACTTAGCAGGTATACAGTTTATATGTGAATGAACGAATGAACGCAACAAAGTCTTTGTCAAACAGAATTATTTTAGAAGTGGCTTCCCCAGAAAGTTCAACCGGCTAACAAGATTCATAATAGTGTCTCCCCTCTGTAATAGGAAAACAAAAGAAAAAGGCCATCAAAGGAAGCCCCTGGAGAACCCAAGCCAATTAAAGCATCTGAATGTTTGCTTTTCCTAGCTCAGTACTATTTAACAAAGATTATATTTTGCATTATGCCTATGTAATAGGAGAGAAAAGAAAGTCTGAAAACAAAGCAAACTTGTTATAAACTTGTAGCAATAATTCAAAGGAAATTAGAATTTTGTGCCAGGTTTTGTAATATTGGAATTTCTTTTACCAGAGTTTGTTAGAGTTTCGCAGTTCTATTACTAAGTTAGAATAAACAATGGCATTAAGTTCTTAGTACAAAAAATTTACTGTTAAAAACAATTTACTCTTTCTAAAAAGTTCTAAATTGCCATGATTTATGAAATTTACGTACATCAACATTCACTTCTTTTGGTATGTATAGTTCTATGAGATTTAAAATATGTAGACTCATGTAACCATCACAATCAATATAGAAAACAGTTCCTTACTTGAAAACTGTTTGCTCCGCCCCTCCATAGTCACACTCTCCCCCTATCCGCATCCTCTGGCAAACATTTGTCTGAACTTTGTTATGGTTTTGCCTTTTCCAGGTGGTATACAAAGAATGATGCAACGTAAATTTCCAAGACGTTGTCTTATTGGGCAATGATACTTTTGAGGTTCATCTGAATTGTGTTCTCAAGTCACACGTACATTCAGTTTTATTGTTGACTAGCAATCCACTGTATGAACATTCCGTGCATTTATCCACTCACCCGTTAAAGATACTTGTGTTGTTTCTAATCTCTGGCGATTATCAGTAATACTGCTACAAGCATGTACATTTTTGTGTGAAACTATATGAAAACTTGTTTTCATTTCTGTTTTGTAACATAATTGGGATTACTGAATCATATAAGTGCAAGTTTAACTTTATAAAAGCCGGCCTACATGTTGTTCTCAGTGCCTGTTCCTTTTTGCGTACCTATTAGTAGTATAAAAGCATTCCAGCCAATCTACATCCTAACCAGCCCTTGCTCAAGTCGGCTTGTGTATGTGGACTCACGCGTGTGCACGTGTGTGGGGGAACTTGGGAATATGTGTGTTAGTATCGAGTTAGTTTAAATTTTCTTTTTTTCTCATGACTTGACTTGATTTCTGTAATGTTGGGTATTTTTTCATGTGCTCATTTTTCATTCATGCATCATCTTTGGTAATGTACCTGATAAAATCTTTGGCTTATTTCTTTTTTTTTTTCAGCTTTAATTAAGTTTATTGGTACACTTTAGGGATACAGTACAGTTACATTCATCGTTGGGATCTTGTACCTTTAAATGACAGAGCCTTGGTTCTCATTTTTTCCCCTTACCCCTGACCTCCGTTCACCCCTTTCTCCCTTCCCTATTTACAAATACTTTATTTCCATTTTTTCATTTTCTCGTATTTCTTCTTTCCCCTTATTACCCTTCCCCTACTCATCCCACCTTCCCTACACCTTTAGCCCCTTTCTTCCCTTTTCGAAATGTCAGTAATCTTATTAGGATCTTGTGTATTATTACACTTTATTCACACCAGAGAAACTATTCGGTATTTACACGTGTGACTTATTTATTTCACTTAGGAGTATATCTTCAATATGCATCCATTTTCCTATGAATGAATCTATTTTCTCATTCTTTATGGCTGAGTAATATTCCATTTTATAGAAAAACCACATCTTCTTTATCCAGTTTCCAACGGATGGGCAAATGGGCTGTTTCCAAGATTTAGCTATTACAAACTGTGCCGCTATAAACATGGGTGCACATACTTCTCTGTGATATGATTCTTTTAGTTCTCTTGGAAAGATACCCAGCAGAGGGATGGCTGGGTCAAATGGAACCTCCAGTCCAAGCTCTTTGAGGTATCTCCATATTGATTTCCATAGTGGTTGCACCAGTCTGCACTCCCACCAACAATGGAGAAGGGTTCCTTTCTCCCCACAACCCTGCCAACATTTGTTATTGTGTGATTTCTTGATAGCAGCCATTCTTTGTGGGGTGAGGTGGAATCTCAGTGTTGTTTTCATCTGCATCTCTCGAGTGATCAGTGATGTGGAACATTTCTTCATATATTTACTTACTGCTTTTACTTCTTTGTCTGAGAAATGTCTGTTCATTTCGGATGTCCATTTTTGAATCGGGTCTTTATATTTGGAGGGGCTGATTGTTTTGAGTTCTTTATATATCCTTGATAATAGTCCTTTGTCTGAGGAACAGCTGGTAAAAATTTTTTCCCACATTGTAGATTGTCTCTTAGTTCTGCTGATGGTTTCTTTTGAAGTACAGAAGCTTTTTAGTAAGATGAGATCCCAGTTGTTGATTCTATCTGCTAGTTCCCGTGCTCCTGAGGATTTGTTCATAAAGTCTTTGCCTATACCAATGTCTTCCAGAGTTCCACCTAACTTACCTTCCAGCAAGTTTAATGTTTCTGTTTTAATATTTAGATCTTTAATCCATTTGGATTTTAATTTAGTGCATGGCGAAAGATAAGGGTCTAATTTTAATCTGTGGCAGGTTAAAATTGGTTTATTTCTTTTATCAGATTATTTTGTAGTTGAGTTTAGAATTTCTTTTATAGTCTAGTTTAGTCTTTTGTCAAATATATGACTCACCAGTGTTTGTTTTTCGATATACAGGCTTCCCTTATTCTTTCAAAAGTGTTTTTCACAAAACACACTCTAGAAACACTAAAGTGTTATTATACTGAAAGAAACCCATTGCTTTAAGATTATATTTTGGTGTTATAACACAAAACTCTGTCTAACCTAATGTCAAAAGGTACTTTCTATGCATTTAAAAATAGTTTTATAATATTTGCATTTAAATATAACATACACTTTGACTTATTTTTTGTAAAGGTGTGGGATGTGGCTTGTTTGATATGCAGATGTTCAATTATTATATCACTGTTTATTGAAAGATTATTCTTTCTCCAAGAATTGCTCTTCCAACCTTGTCAAAAATTAGTTAACTAAGGGCTGGGGATTTAGTGCAGTGGTTCCACAGCCTTCCTCAAAAGCACAAGGACCTGAGTTCGATCCACGGTACCAAAAAAAAAAAAAAATTAGTTAACTATATTTGTGTGAATCTATTGCTAGCCTCATTCTGTTCTATCCGTCTGTCTGCCCTTTCTTTCATACCAACCACACCGTGTTGATTGCTATAATTTTATAATAAGCCTTAGGCAAGATAGTGTGAGTGGTCCAATTTTGTTTTTCTTTTTAAAATTACTTTAACTCTTTTGTTCATTTTCCATATATATATATATTTTAGAATCTGCTCTATGTATCTGCAATACACAAAACACAGAACTTCTACAAAAATTTTACATGAGACGGTGTTAAATTATGGAGCAAATTTAGGAGAATTGCTAACAGTATTAAATTTTCCAAGAAATACTGAAATATTTAGATTGGAAATATTTTAATCAAAACACAAAAATGATATGTGTTTACATTTAAGCCTTTGTT